CGGAGACGGAGCAGGAAGCCTGCATAATGAAGGATTTGTTGACAGAGGTCTTCATATCAAATCAGCAAAAAGGTAGCAAATGATCCAGTTGCAGGCAGGCTTGCTTGACTCCGGGAACCTTGGCCCTTCTAACTCTCCTGATTATGGGCACAGCGTACCGGGCGCTCTGCTCTTCTCAGGCCCTTATTGCTGCCGCTTTTGAACTTCATCTATTGCAGCTTTCGCCAGGAAGCCAAACAGCACAATGCTACTCACGAATTTCACAGGAAAGAGGCGTTCTTTATGCATGAGGAAGATGATGGCTGTTGGAGACCAAACACCCATTCCGAAAGGTGCTTAAACATATGCCCAGTGTTAAGTGCATAAGCAGCCCCTCCTGTGAGTTTTCAAACGGTGAGAAATGAACTGGAAGTAGAACACAAATCCTACCTCCTCAGCCCTTTGCAAGTGATATCCTAACTTGGTTTAGAGCTCTCTTGGTCTCCTACCCGTCCCCAGGAGGCAGCTCCTTCTGGGGCCAGACGTGGCTGTACAGAATGCTTAGTCCTGCTATGCCCGTGTGGGGAGCTCACGCTGGCACCAGGTCACTCTCCTGCAGGACACAAGCCTCTCCTACTTCAGACAGGTGCATTATCTCCTGTACTCCTGATAGTATCAGCTGGTCATAATATAGAACTGATTTTATATGGTAGGCGTTGTACAATAGGCAATGAGATGCGTCGCTGTGGTGCTCCACGCCATGTGTGAATAGGATATGGTACTATAATAAATGTATAGAAATACATGATAGGGTTCCTGGGCTTTCAAGGACTAAATAATTAATCTCTGAGAGGTTTTTTAAAATACTTGAGGCATTTTCTAAGCGCAATGTTTGGCAGTGACAGCTCCTTGCTGGAGTTAATTCCTCTGTGATGCTTGCTGGACTTTGCTTGATCAATACCCACGTGAGTCCAACTGATGCTCTCTCCTAAGTGACACATGGGAAAGACTCTCCTAAGTTGTGGTACATGAGTGCTTAAGCTCTCACTAAGGATCTTCCACAAAGCAGCAGCCCCGCAGACCACAGGGAATGAGAGCAGGCGGTCCTGGAGAAGCTGAACATACACGGAGCCGAGCTAAAGTGTCTCCAGTGTGCTCATTTCATTTATGTCTCATTCATTATGGAAACGAGCTGTGAAAGTAGTTTCTAGAGCTACTTAGTGCAGGTTGCACATCGATTTAATACCTATTCTGGTTTTTCAAGTCACTTACCTCCACAGAACTCTTGTTCCAAACCAATTATTTAGCTGCATTGCTCAGAATTTGAGTTCACTGGTGTATTAATGCAGCTTGGTGTAAACCACTATATATTTAAGACTGCTGAAGAGGAAGCCTTTAAAATGAAGGAAGACAATAAAGAACCAGCTTACCTGATTTATAGGACCATCAAGTTTCTACTCATTGTATTTATGCATGAAATGTCTAAAAAAAGCCAAATTGCATCAGATGGATTTTCTTCTGTTAACATGCCTGTATCAGTCTATCTACTCACATGAAAAGAGACTCAAACATGAAAATGAGGAGGCAACTGGTGAAAAAAAGTAATTAATAACACACACAGGAGACTGATTGCTATCACTCGGGTTTTTTATCAGGCTTAAGAGATTGCCAATGGGAGCCTTAGCTGCAAAATGTCACGTGTATGCAGCATCTAAACACCATCACTGCTTTTACGATGGGGAACGGAATTTAGTCCCCTTCCTTTGCCTAAGGGGATTCTCATCTGATTGCCTGAACCACAAGCTTTCCCCCTTGAGATGCTCCATGGTGCAGAAGCTCTCACTTAAAAGTCTGGGCCCTGTACAGTGAGAAAAGTGAATATACACAAATACCACCCCCCCACCAGATAGATACATGCAAAAATCTCTATAGGAAGTTGATTTATTCTGCTATTAGCAGATTAATGAAGAGTGTTTGCTGGCATACAGATGGCCACAATCTGCTCCGGCTTCTCCTTGAGCAGAGTTCAGGATCCTGCCCGGTGACAGTGACACATTAAAGGGTGTGGGGAGGAGTGACGTCTTTTTCTGCTTTTGCCGTAGATTTCCTATGTTACTTTGGGCAAATCACTTAACCTTGGTGTTCTCCGTGTCAATAAGGAATCCACCTTGCTCACAGCACTTTGAGATCTATGGACAAAGAGAGCTCTAAATACTAGGTATTATTTATAGTATTGCCCTATGGATAAGAGCAAGCTACAGCTGTTGGAGACAGCAGGGACCTCTGAGCAAGCAGAAAGGCATAAATCTGAATGTCAGTATCCTTAGCATTGTAGCGGGCGGCAGTTTTGTCCTAGGAGAACATTTCAGTGGTTTGTGCTACCAGATGAACTTGCCGTTAGTTCTTCACGTTCCCCAGAGGCAGCTAACGCAGAAATCTGGATTTACCATAGCAGGTCATTGGTAAAGCAATTCTGACAGCCTGCTCCCAGCGTGGCTTGTACCTGCGCTTTCCGGAGAAAGATTGGCCATGCAGTGACGCTTTTGCAAGGCAACCTTGCATGCATGCGCGCATCTGATCTGCACAGACTGCTAGCTGAGATGTGGCCACTTTCCCCCTGACCTCTGCATTCCTAAGGGTAAATCTCTGTGGACGCGGTGTAGTGATGTGTAAAAAGCACCCAAAATAGCTCCAGAGTTGGAGGCAAGACTGCGGGCTAGTACACTGCGGAACCTGCTGGGCAGCTGCAGTGCTTTGCTGTGGCACCAAGGCTGCTTCCCGCACCTGAGCGCTTGCCCAGAGCAAGTCTGGGCCCTGCACTGTGCTGGCCTCACTGTTGCGCGTTGTCCTTGAGCTTGCATAGGACTGAGCAATCCTGGCCCTGATGAGAGGCGCTGAAAGCAAGCAAAGACCATGTGATGCACACGTATCGATCTCCAAAGTTCGGGCACATTTGCCCTCTTTACATCAACTTACTCTTTTAAAATTGTCTTCAAAGGCACTTAGCTAAATGTGGATCTTCCCAACAGCACCAAAATCAGAAACTCACATATGAGGCTTTCAGGCTAGAAATACGCATGTGGATTTATTTGCAAATAGTTTCAAATCTTGGAACGGTGACTTGGTGCAAATACATTTGTAGCATAACACGTTGTTGATGTTATATCTTCTCCCCCCCAGCATTGCACAATGTAAAACTTTGTGACTAGATTGTGCCAAGAGCCTTAATTCACCGTTTCATCAAAGGACAAGTCTCCATATTGCTGCCAGTCTCTTTTAGGGTAAATGTTCTGACAGTGAAAGGAAAGAGGCGTTCAGAGTAGGAAAAAAGATGAAGCCACTAAAATGCAAATTTTATTCACAGTTGGCATGTTTATAAATATATATATTACATTCTTACAATCTACAGTACATTCTAAATATAGAGGGATTCAATCTAAGTGTTTGTGGGAGGGTGGGTGTGTATTAAACTGAGCAACCTAGATTCAATGACAGAAAGAGACTTAATAATAAAAGGAGGGAAAAAACACTCTGGAAAATAAAGGAAACCTTGAAATATAAGCTGGATTTTAGTTAGTGCTTTGGCACTTTGCCACTGGTCATTGGAGACTGCTTTTGGACCTCACAAATGTCATGGTTTTGGGGCTGGAGGGCACATCAGATTCAAAGGGTAGCCACTGAAATCCTACCATATGTACATCCTTATCAGAGGAAAACAAAAGATAATCATCACCTCCGGAAGAAACAAATGTTATCTACCGAGTTTAGCTGTTCAGGTTTCAACGCTGAATGTGCAGCACTTCTCTGTGACTTGCGAGTGCCCTCTAAATGTGCCGAGCAGGGGTCTAAAGAAGCATGAGCAGAAGGAACTGAACACCCTGACCTCTCCCAGGGAAGGGGATGGACAGAGAGGCAGTTGCTGTTGGTGCCCGAGTTCGGCACAAGTTACACTTACCCAAGAGAGACTGGCCAACTTTGGTAAAGGACAGCACGTAAAGCAAGTACCAGCGTGGTAGCAAGTGTCTGGGCTTGGCAAGAGCACACCGTGGAGAAGCGAGTGTGCATGGAAGGGAAGGAAGAAACCACACGCTTCCAAAGTTGACTTATGCTAGTAAGTGCCCTCAGGATACCAGATGGGGAGCGCTCCAGGGAAATGGCTGGGAATACGAATTTGAAACAGGACAATCAAATAAAGTGGGCTTTTAAAAATAGCTTGCTCTCTCAAACTTTCCAAAACAGACCTTCCTTTGTATGAGTGATATTCTCAGTATAGATAATATCTTCTCCTATTTTACAATTTAAGAAATACTGAAAATTGGCTGGCAAAGTTTATTACCTTGGCATCTACTTAAAAAGAGAGTTTCAGTTTTAACTGTATATGTGTATCCATTCTCAGTGCTTGGGAGGCAAACACGCTGGTTTGTAAACAGCCCAGTTACTCCTTTTTCCCCTCCAGATTCTTTGGAAACTCATGACTTTTCAGCTCTGGGAGCTGCTTCGCTCACACTGTTGGTTTTTCTCAGCTTTAAGTTAATGTTCTTGGATGGGTATTCTCTGCATGTGGCTTGAATGACATGCTCTCTTCGTGGATCTATTTATTCCGAGACCAATATTTTGCTTTTAACCAGAGCTTGCAATATTGAACAATGGAGCTGTGCGAACTTTGTAATATCCAAACTGCACTGGAGTTTGTTATATTTATTGATTTGCTGGGAAAGCTCAGAGAATGAGACCATATTACTCTGCTAAGTTTTTTTTTTCATGTTACCATGCATCAAAAAACCACACACATCTCACTTCCATCTCTGAGCACAGAGAAGACTTGAATTTTAAGAGCTGTCCAGGATCTCTGCTCTCCCAGCTGCTTTTGGGTGGCTTCTTGGGGCTCCATTGAGTTACCATCCACCAGCTGATTCTTGTTATCAATGCAACATTTTGCCCCACTACCCAAAATTAAAGGCAGAAGGTGAGTGAAAAACAAATGAACGAACAAACCAAACAAAAAAGTCTGTTGTGTCTCATTACACATTTTCATGTAATCTCTCCATATAGTTTTTAAGTTCTTTGCACTCCCCCAGGTCCATATCCTGGCAGACCCATTTAATGTCATCCTCGCTACTCATCAAGATTGAGTTGACAGTTGGACACCCATCATCAGAGGAGATGGTGGTAAAGGTGGTGAATTTAACCCGTTTCCTCTTAGAGGTCGGAGAAGTGGTTGGTTCACTTTTCTGTTCTTTCCCTTCAGTGAATGTGGACTCAGTAGACCTGAAAGACTGTCCATTAATATTTTTGGCGGTGTTTGTGTTGAGGAGATATTTGCTCTCTTCATAGTCCACTCCTCTGTCAATGGCTGTGATATGTTCATCTTGTTGGGATGAGAAATTTATGTGATTCTCCAGAAGTTCTGTCCTGTTGCTCAGCCCAACCCAGTCATGAGAGTGGCTCATGCCTTCTTGCTCTTCAAAGGGAACTTGTTTGTTTCTGTACTTCAAAGCAAAAGTGACACAATTGATAAGGAAGACCAGAATTGCCAGGCAAAAGACTCCCAGAAGAGCATACATTCCTATCTCCAGATCGCTGAGTCCCCTAGGGGTCTGGACTAGGTCATTCTCTTCCAAGTCTCCATCATTTCTTGGCAGATCCACCTGTGCAGGGAAGCTCGTGAAGTCTATTGGGATGTTCTGCAGATGACTGTCATCATCCAGGAGGCTTTCTCTGTCTTCTTTTTTACTTAAAACAGACCTTTGAGTGGTGGTCCCTTTGCCTTGCTCGTGGCCCATGGAGGAGCTGTAATATTGGCCATCCAGCCCAGCTCTTTCCTGCAGAGTGGTTTTCTGACGCCGGTCACTGGCACGATTTTCCAGGTGGACACCAGCACCCCTGTGTTTACTGTCACTGATGTTAGGGTTGGCATCACTCTGCCCAAACTTGACTTTAATGCTACCACTTCCAACAGCTAGGATGCTCTTTCTTTTGGATTTCTGGCATGATTCACTGATCACCATCTCTACCTTCACCAGTGTTCCCTGGCCTTCTGTCTCAGCAGCAATCACGGGCCACTTGAATTTGGGGTCATGGTGAATGGAGACCACCTTCTCATCCAGAGATGTAGCTGACAAGGAGAAGTCTTTGGAGTCATAAATATCCAGGGGCATGACAGATCCATCACTGAACTGGATCCAGCAGCTGATGGCTGCTTCCTATAATATATAAAACAAATATACGCACACTCAGCATAAACATTGAGGAAAATATGTTCTGTCCTGGTCTATTCCCTCTGCCTCACAAGATCCATATACCATTTATAACCAAAACAAGAAATACAAAGGGAAAGCAATGAAATGAATATCTTGCCAAGATGTGAAGAGAAATACTAGTTTATAACACTCATTGATAATAAGATTTGTTTCCCCAAAGGTGCTTAAAGGAGCTGCGTCCCCTGGGCTCTGCAGGATCTACTTCAGCACCATAATAAATTGCATGTCAGAAAGCATTACCAGTGACTGAGATCATTTACTGTTGTATATTTAAATGAAAAAAGAAATTACTTTATTTCTAAACTGCTTAAAATACAAAGTCTCCTCTTGTTGCACGCAACAAGTTTTAAAAAATACCTAACATAGCAAGTAGGTCCATACATGGCTCCATACCTTCAGTCCTTGATTTTTGTCTCTCAAATTAAATAAGCGTTTCATACAAGCAGAGGAAACCAATCAGTTGCTTCTTTAGGAAATGGCCAGGGTAATTTTCATGCTTGTTAGCAATTAAAAGTAAGGCAATAATGCAGTTTAATCTCGTGTCACAGCAATGCAGATTGTATACTTCAGAGTGCATGGAGGCTTACTGAATATAAATGGGTCAGACCTGAGTACTAATTCTGTACTTGCACGTGTGTAATGGTGCAGCATTCCTGGGAACCCTGACTTTTGGTTTCTAACTTGAAACATTTTAAACTATTCTTAGATTTCAGGGAATATGTGCTCACCCATTTCTGAAAATTGGGTCCTCTAAGGACTCTCAAGTGGTTATTGAAAATTGTCGTGCTACCTGAAAAAAATCTTGGCATTCACACATTAATCATTTACAGACAAAATTCAGATTGCTCTCCTGGAATCCAATTCCTGCTTCCGATGGCCTGACTCGCTCTGTTTTGGCTGTGATGTTTGCACCTTATTAGACACGGGAGAATCCACACCAGAAAGACTCCTGGCTTGATGAGTGGCTTCTTTGGTGTCTAAAATGAGGTGAGCTCTTGTCTGGTAAGGGTTGGGATCATCCTGCTCTGAGAGCAAGCCTGACAGACAGACAAACACCCAACCAACAGATTAATAACCATACTTGCGGGAAGCGTGATTATAAAAGTCTTGGTTTTAAATAAGCATTTTTTCAAACAGATGGTATTGACATTCTAACTCAACATATATACAGAGAATAAATATATATCATTATCTTTTAAATTGTTTCTAGCACATAGTCATTCACCTGTTCAGATCACAGAGAATAAGTCTTTCAGGATTGTGTCGTGCATAATCTACTGGCCTGGTTCTGAAATCCTTACAGCTATAAAGCTCCCCGTGCTTCAATGGGAGATTTGCTTCTGTCTCTATTTCAGGACAGAGCCCTAAGACTTTGCTGACACTATCATAAATCCCGGCTTTGTGTTTATTAATCTTTGGATGTTTCTTGAAGGCTGCATAGAATTTATGTCATCAGCTCTCATCCTCCCACTGTGTTGCTTAAACCTGCATAATCGTTTAATAATTTTGCATTGCTTTGCTTATAGGGATTGTGCTCTCAAAATCACGTACTAAGCAATGGAGGGAATCAGATGCCTTTCAAAATGGAGTCAGTCCTTGAAGGGTGGAAGGTGCACATCTTCCTCGCTGGTTTAATACCGACCCAATGTTGTGCTGACTGTACCCTTGCATCCAGAAAGGGACTCATCTAGACTCCATTTCTGGGCACTGAAATGTCAGTGCTGGGCAGCATGCTGGGACTAAATGCCATCAGCCCCAGCTTTTGGGCTGATTTCAAGGCAGTTTGTTTAACTCCCCATGTCGGCAATGGATTAGCTCACTGGCCTTACTTCTAGCTGCCTGGCATGGATTTCTTAACTCCTGGAAGACTATGGTAGCCTGATTTTTATCACCCTATAAAGACAGCAGTTCTGCATTATTTCTCATCCTGCATCCCAAGGATAAGACCCTATGATGAATTAAAGCGTCTCAACAGTTGGCCAGGTTTCAAACGTGCATGTCATGATCATTTACCTTTAAAGCTCAGAACATGTTTCAGCATTAAGAGCCCACTGTATCCTTGATGTAAGTTCCAGACTGATGGATTTGGGTTGAAAAAAAGTTTAAATGTCAAATGTAGACAGAAGCACAAGGACAAATATCAAGCAGGGACTGATGGGGACATGGCAAAGTCCAAAAGCCCTTGGTAACTGTTGGTTCCCTAATACATGGACTAAGAGTAACAGGGAAAAAAAACCTGGTTTATGAAATCATGAATCAGAAAATGAGTCAATGATGCTGATTCATATTCTAGTAATGAATCAGAATGAAAGGGAAGTTCCCCAACTTCTTAAAATGCTCACAGAAAGTAACTAAAAGAAGAAGAGTTTGGCATAATGCAAAACTTTTTCTCATTTAAAGACGGACTTAAAGGGTTGGTTTGGATACCTGTGGTGGGAGGCCGAACTCGGCAACCTACTTGGCAATACGTCCTGTGCTCCAGTAGGTGCTGGATGGGACAGAAAGGGGGGTGTGGGTGTGTGTGTGTGGGTGTATGTGTAAAGGGACTTCTCTTGCTTAATTACGACACGCCATTGAGTCGCACGTGTTATTTATGGGGCGCAGCCACGACAGCTGGGGTAGGCCTGTGCGTTGACTGGGGTTGTTTAGACATAGTGCCATTTTTGTGAGATCTTTGTTTTTCCATTAGGGCACCTGGTGGCCTTCAGAAAAAAGTGCCCATAAGGAAAATATTTTACTGGCATATTTTTAACAAAAATCTGCTTGATTCCATCAGCTTGCAATGTCAGGTATAGTGAATCAGAGCGGTGTCCTTCCGCCACACAGTACATGTGGACAATAGTACCTGCTTTGGAGATTGGAGCAGCTCTTGTGCTACTGCTGTAGCAAAGATGGCTTTATTGCTTCCTGGACTGAGCTGCAGAGAAAGCGACAATCCGGTCACCAGCTGCACTCCCAGGTCAGTTATTGTCACCTTCTCGTCCAGAACTGTCACTGTCTTCTCAGCCAAGATAGCATCTGAAAGGGGGGACAATATCTGAAAAGAAAAACCGAAGTTAGCAACAGCCATTTTGCACAGCACCAAGCAAAATAGCTACACTGAGCTACTGCAACACAGATAAGTGATACTTATGTTAATAGGCAGAATTAAGCTTAGCAGACAGACACTATTAAAATATGATTAAAAAATGGCTAGTCACATTTTATGACTTCTGCAATAATAGGGTGCTTATAACATCTTTTACCACTGTAATTGTGTTCAGCTTTGCCATTCACCTCTGCGATATGCTGACCACATCTGTTTCAGATGTATTAACTATTTGTAAATGTAATCTTTATGTGAAATGCAATGATTTTATTAATGATTGTGTTTTTAGGTAGCGTATATATAATGCACTCTGTAGATTTATATAAAATACATTGAATAAATGGCATTTATTTCTATCCTATAGAAAGAAAGGATAATGTATTGCTACAATAACTGCTCATGGCACTGTATACAAAATTGACAGAGGAAACTTGTTTTTGTTAAAAAAAAGTGCATGGAGGTCAGTGCACTGATACGTGACATCCAAAGATGCTCATTAGCAAGCAAGCTGAATTTAATGATCCATATAGGGTACAGAGTGTTTTTGAAGCAGTTTATAAGAGGTATTCTTTAAATATAACTTGCTCTCATGTTTTTTTCCCTTGAATTTTTCTTTCCACAGTTTTATGTGCCTTTGTTGGAGCATTGTAAGTCCCAGACCTTTGGAAAGTCATTCGGAAAATCTTTACAGATTTTGCAGAAAGTCAGAAATCTCGAATGCCATTTCTCCATCCCTGACAACCTGTGTTATCGACAGGTGTGGTTGTTGTGTTCTGGTGTGGCAGTTTGGGATGATGAGCATGTTTGGAGAGCTAGATTTTTTTTCCTGTTCCAGGGCTTGTTAACATGTTTTCTACTTTGCAGTACCACTGGATTAATCTCAATCTCTCTCTCTCTCTCTCCCCTTTTCATTTCTTCTGGGACCCCATTTTCTAGGCCACTATTTCTCTGCACAGCAGGAATAACTATATATGAAAAGCTGTCAATGACATGATGCATAGGTTTAGGTGATTTACTTCAGAGTGGGGACGCTAAGGCACAGCCACATATACAGTATTATTTATAGGCCATATTCTTGACCATGTTGGCTGAAACTGAGGAAGCTAAATCTGCACCCCTGGAGAACATAGCTTAGTTGTCACTGATCAGTCAGTCTTCTAACATCATTCTGGAAGTGCCAGTTATTATTATTGCTTTGTGCATATTCTGAAATATACCCTAACATTTACGTTTTGTAACACAGTCCTTGAGTTCGCAAGGCGTGCAGGGATTTGATCCTATGGAACTTACATTGCAGTCTCAATTCCTCAAGCAGCACTGGGTAATGTTTACTTTAGCCTTTGCTCTGTCAATGTAGGTTTTGAGAAGACTGAGCTTTTTCACCAGCTTCATGCCTTGTGATAGTCCATATACTGGGTCCAAGTTCAAAAAAAGCCTTAGGCAAAAATAATCAGAAACAGCTTCCAAGTATACAGGGCGGACTAAATTTACTAAAACTGCAATCTACATTACTTCATGGCACAAGATAAGAAGAGAAAGCCATCTCTTCTGCATTTTCCAGTCCTTGCTGCAACTCTGCTCCATTCAGAAATTCATGGCTCCAATTTCTGTTGCTAATGCAAGAAGCTGCTGTACACCTCATCAGTACCTCAGTTCCCAAGCTGGTGGGTTAATGGAAGAAAAGGAATAAGTAATTAATTTTCCCTACCTGAATTGTCGTCATTCCAAGCTCCTGCCCAATCAAAACCTGTCCGTCCTGTAGCTTAGCGATTCTTGGCTCCTCCACCTGCATGAAGTCGCTCACCAGGTCAGTAATGTCAATCTGCCAGTCAGAACCCAGTAAATAGCTCAGCTGGCCGCCGGGGTCCGAGGCTTCAGCTACAAACTGCGTGAAGACTCGCACCATCGCATGTTGGTACTGAAGGGTGCAGCCTCTTCCCTTACGTTCATCCTCCTCTTCATCATCGCTGTCCCTGGCTGGTCTGGTAGGACACCAAGAATAAAAAATTAATGTAAAGTGGTGCTGGGAGAGCTTGCAACAGGAGAGCTATTGCTGACATAAGTCTGCAGCCTCGTTGCTGGAACAAGGGGCCATTGCCCCCTTCCATTGCTCTGCTGAAGCTGCTTCCTTCAGTGCATTTCTGAAATCAGTCATGTTCCCCCACTTTATCCTGTTTCCCTTGGTCATAACTGAGACCTCCAGACTGCCTACATCTTCAAAACAGTCACTAGAACGTCCAACTGGCCTGCTAGCTTCGCTACCACGTTGTCCTCTCCAAATATCTCTTGTTATTTTCCATGTTAAGTCCTTACTTTGAGGACCTTCACACTTTTCTCTTTCTGGATCTTCCCATAAACATCTTTGTGTTGCCATGGAAATCTCCCCTGTCTGCACCTACATACACATCCCTTTCTGTGTGGCATTCAGGTTGAAATCACATCTCCATCAAAATCCCCATCTCGTTGCTGTGACAGTAACAGAAACATGGTGATAAATGTCTTCATTGGTAGGTGGGAATAGCAAGTACCTACTTTATTAATTTGTTCTTCTGGCTCTTAAAAACACTGACCACAGATACAAACAGTCCAGATCTGCCTACATCCATCCTCTGTCTTGCCATTCACCTGCCACTGACCTGTGGGCACAGACCGTATCTTCAAAGCCCTAGTGTATCAGTGTCCTGACTTTGGGACGCTGATCAGTGCCACTGCACCCTACAGTGATATGAAACAAGGAGGTACTAGTTGTGACCATTAACAATGAATAAATTACCTGGCAGGCCCTGTGAACCAGGCTGGAGAGTGACCAGCCTTGCCGGAGCTGGTCCTTGTTGGTGTCTTCCTGCTGCCCCCGTGACTGATCCTGCCCAACCTGACCAATTGGCTCTTTCCATCTCAGTCACTAGTGCTATGAAAGGAAATCGATTTCCAATGCAGGAGCATGCAACCTGCAGTTTCCATTTCCCTCATAAGTCCAGTGCAGGAGCCTATTGAATAAATGTCTGGTGACCTTCAAATTTACACTGGAATTGCATTAAGGCCAAATGAGCATGTTCAGATCCGCTGGCCCTGACAGGTCTTTGGCAAGTGCGCAGCCCAGAATGAACATCCTCTAATGAAACCTACCTCTTATTAGAGATGATGGGGACTCTCCACCCCTTGATCTGATTTAGTTCTGTGTCAGAGACCTCTATCTGCAGCGGGAGACGAGGAACCCAGACTGTCATTTCTAAAGGGGCACTCAGATGCTGGTAAGTAAAATTAACTACGACATTCACTTTGCCTTTCATTTCCTTCCCATTGACAAAGACATAGTCACATCTGTCAGAAACCTGAAAAAAGGAGAAAGAAAAAAAAAAAAAAGTCTAATGAGTCTCTTCACAAATTATAAAGTACACCACATGCTGGGAAAGCGAGTGGGAGGAAGAGAAAGGATATAGGTTTAAACTAACTCCAAGTTCAGAGGACAACTAGGAATAACAAGAAAGGTGCCTGGTGTGCCCTTAATAGCTTGTATAATTTGGCATCATTTTAACAGGCAGGTTTTTTTCTGCTATAAACATTTCCAGTATAATCTAAGATGAAAGAACAGCTTCTTTCTGTCCTTAATTCCCACTCCAGCACTAGGATAGTCCTAGTATAACGGCACCGAGAGAGGATTCTTCTCCTCTCCCCAAAGCTCAGTCAGACTCTACTATCCTCCTCCTCTACTTCATGTGCAGCCCGAGGAATACCACATACCTGCGGGGAGGAACAGGTAACTGTGTGTACACAGAATTGAGTAGGGGACAAATTTCTCAGTCAACCCCAAATGGGGACAAAGGGTTCTTCAGGAGTCCCGTTACAGGTGCCAGGGCATGGGGCGGTCACATCGCCCAAAAACTAATCACAGGGAAGAGCTCACTGATGCCCAGGGGTGTTCACTGGGGCCAAACAGCTTCATCTCTGCTGCAAGCCTGACAAAGGTCTTACACAATGTTCTGCTCAAGCTAGTCCTGATGTCACTTTATTTATTACCTGCAGCTCTGGACATCAATATTGCTGAGAGTTACTAAATCTCACTCAAGCGATTTAGCAGCTATGGCAAGGATCTAGGTGAGCTGACAGGACCTGTTCATTGCAGCTAGTTAAAATATATGAGTAAATGTACACGTCAAATAATTTATTAACTACCACTTTACTGTGCTGATGATCTGAAGGAATGATCTATTAAAACCTTGAACTCTTTTCACAATCCATTACCGGCCAGACCTCCTATTCCATTCTGTAGATGTATTTAATATTTCTGACTCCAGAATGCATAGTCTCATCCTCATCTGAATTTAATGCCATTTTCTACTTTTCTGTTTAAATGCTAAATGCATTTAAATCGCATTTAAATATCACCATCTTTTGTAGGAGAATTTGCATTCCTAATATTATTATCTTTAAACAACAACAACCCCTCTTACAGACAGATCCGTAGCAAATCCATTTCCATCCTTGCTTGTCTGAGCCTAGGTAACGTATCAAAAAAGGTTATCATGACTCTTGCAATGCCTGTCTTGCAAGCAATGTCTGGTTTAAGGTCAAAATCTTATAGCTGCC